AGGGGGGTGCTACCCCCCCCCAATATTAGCTATAACCCCCCCAAACAAAATGTCCACCCCTCCAAAAAATTTTCAACCCCCCCCCCAATATTCGGCATAATAAAAACTCCAACGTGCAGAGTGTTGATGATACAAAATAAACGTAGGAGTACACTCAAATAGAAAAAGACGCAATACTCTGAAACTAATTGCTCCTCGCTTGCATTCACTGGTGTTTATTGGACCAATTGTAAAGTTTTGAAACTCTATTATCTCCCCTGAATAGAGTTTGCAGTGCCTTGTCATGCAAATAGCTTGCTTGCAAAGAACGTTTGGAAATTTTACGAACATTATTTTTAGTTTTAATTCTTTTAGGAAATAGTCTTGCCTAGATTTAATCCAGGGGCGGATCTAGGGGTGATCAGAGCGATCACGCGACTAAGGTAAAAATTGGCCAGAAAAATGGAAAATTATTAAATTAAAATAGCAGTCCAGTTATCAAACTTCGCGCAGTGTAATGTATTGAAAGCTTAACAGTCCAGTTTTGAAATATCATTCAGTAGCAAGGCCTTCGAACATGAACGCGCAGAAAAGCGGTCTTACGCATGAGTTTTGCACGCTCTGAGTCAGATTCCAGCCATCTGATTGGCTATCTCGACTTTTGCGCGATCTGTGGGGAGTTCTGATCGCTAAAGCGATCAGGGGCTCGAATACAGGCTATCCGATTGGCTAATTCAAAACAATCCTGAATTCCCATTGGCTGGATTTTTTTGATCGATCATACCGTTCAGGCTTCATTTGTGCTTGACCGCAAATTATTAAAGTTCAATGGGAAGATTTACTATCAGAAATTCTGAACTAATACCAGCCATGTCTGTTAGTATTTAGAAACTGTAAAGGCTGCTTTAGAGAATGACGATCGACAAAATGTCAAAGATATTGAAGCTGATTTAAACAAGCGAGTATTGTAATGGTCTAGTGCATCATAAATTGTACTCGGATTCAAACGACACAATGTCAATGATTTTATAAAAGTAAAAGCATATTGTGTATTGTACTGGCCTATTGGGTTTACACTTTT